ACTCCGCCGCTGTCCTCGGGGGCATCGCCGTGCTCCTCTATCCTCTGCGGCACCTGCGGACACAAGGACAGCCTTAGGAACAGCAATAACGCACACCGGAGTAAGGGGAGCACCAACACCTCGGTGTTCAGCCCTTCACCCGGCACTCACAAGAGAAATGGAATGGCATCGGAAGTAACTTGTGCTATTCCCTGCGCCTGCCAAAGGACTGCCAGTACAGGACGTCTCCTACAGCCATCAACCATTGGGACAAAAGTTTGGGGTTGGTTGTTCTGGGTTTTGTGGTCGTTTTTTTGTTTGGGTTATTTTTTGGTTTTTCTTCTGGACTATCTGGATAGAAATAGATTTTCTTTGTTCTCAGCAGTGGAAAAATTGCATGATGCAAAGCTTGGAAATGTGTTATAATATTACCAAAAGCAGGAAATAAGGTCACTTTTGGTAATGAAATTGGGTTAACAGACACTCACTGCTCTGCTGCACTCTGACGCTTCAACAATGCAGAGTGCTGGTGGTTGCAATAATATTTCAGGAACTCCCATCTAATGTGGAACTTTTTACAAAGGCAATGATGTAAGAGGACAGGTTGATTTCCAACCAACCCAAAATGCTGTTGTAGTTAACTCTTAGATTATCACTCTTAGCCCAGTCCCCACATTACCACTTCAGGATGACTCACTCAATCCTACATTCCCAGAAATCTCAATAAAAGATGGGATAAATTGTTGGTCTGGAGTTCAGTATCACTTAGTCCATACTCACCATTCAGCAGCACACAGCAAGGGAAAGAAAGAACCCCAAAGGCAGAGATTCCTTCTCAGGAAGGAAGCTAGGAAGGATTCGAAAGGGCAGGGTCTCTCCACAAGGAGAGTAAGCCCTCAAGCCAAATATTTTAAACATCCTGACCTTGTGATTGGAAAGGTAGCAGCACAGCCAGAAGTTACAATCACTCATCCCCAAGGTGTACTGACCTTGGAGCTGGATAGAGTCAGGATTACTCAGTGTTTTGCACTAAACAAACTAAACTGCACTAAACAAAGTACTCAAACTTGCAGGTTTTCTCTTGCTTCTCTTGAATAACTAGTTGAATCACAAGGTTTTAAGCAGGTTCCCAAAATCTGATTCTCACAGTTATTAATATGCAGAACATTCTTTTAAATGAGCATCCTTTAAGTAGTTTATTAATACTCTGAACAAGTTTTGTACCAGCAAACACACACAGGCATCATTTCAGCTAGGAGACAAGAAAAGGCACTGTCCACAAACGTTTGCCATACCTCTCCAGCCCCATTCTAGTGCAGCTACCTCAAAATGAGCTTTGGAAAGCCAGCCTTGTCTGGCTGTCACTTCTCCCCCTTCACAGCATGAGAACCTAAACCCGTAACTCCCTTAATAATTTTGCCTCCAACATGAGTGCATAACAGCACAGGGTTACCATCTGGGTAACACCCTGGGTCTCTCAGCACTGGCCCCACACTGGTGGCTGAGCTGTGCCCCAGAGTGCCAGGGAGCAGCACACCCTCCTCATCAGCTGCCTGCAGACAGGCCAGGCTGCTTTGCACACATGCCTTGAACACAGCATTACAATGCAACAAGCAAGCCAGCACAGGGTTTGTGCTGCTGTTGCTGGGTAATAGTCACTTGTGGGCTACATAATCTGAAGCGTTTCCCCCCTCTGAGGTTGCTCTCACACTTTCATCACCAACCACAGAAAACACTGCATTTAATTATAACTTGTGATTAATAAAAAGCATCTGCATTAGTGTGATATGTTACCCATTTCTCCCATGTCATTGGAAAACAGGAGCAGATGTCTCTGTATTTAATGTCTCTTTTCCTGTGCATACTCCATTTGGCATGAGCCTTTAAAATCCAATAGCCTGTACAACCTAATACCACATAATGTCAAACTTAGAACATGCAGCAGGGTCCTTCTGGCTACTACATTTGCTTCCATATCCAATAACAGAACCACTGGCTCACACTTTGACCAACTAAACTAGCTATTCTTCAGTTTGTGATTTTTCCAGTGAATATTCACTGCCCATACTTACACTATGCATTAATGTGCTCTACCCTCAGATATTAAATGGTAATGACTACACACAGAGACACTCTTTTGGTCTCAACTCAGTCAGCAGTAAAATTTTCTTACTGTAAAACTAACAGTCCTTTATTATCAGACAAAGTTTCACTTGTTTGGGCTATGTAATCATTTCTACAGTGGTTCAGTACACCTGGTTTTTTTAAATGCCAAACACACTCACGCAGGCAACAACTAAAAACTATAACCTGCAAACAATTCAAGTTCTCACTAACACAAGAAATGTACCATTTTGCAGAAATGGAAACTGAATAGTGAAAAGTGTCAACCTGCTACAGACAGAACCTTCCAGCTGCCAAACTTCATTGCAGCAAGAATTGGTTCAGATAAAATGATGTTTCATATGACTGAAGGCAATGTAAAGTAATTTCATACCTCCTAATCTTCATGGTGAAAGAGCTGTAAACGTAGCACAAGAAGGTTTAATCCAGCTAGTTAAGGAAGAACATAAAAATAAAACTTTTTAAAAGTAACATTATAATGTCATACTGATAGATAAATTCATCAATACTACTTAGTTGTAAGATAATATTTTGAGATGGGAATTTTCAGTAACAAATCAGGTTATGAACTTTGATTTTCTCACTTTTCTTACTGATTTCTTACTTTGTGTAAGATATGGGCTACAGATGGATCTTCAGAGGAGAGGTGCAATTGATGGCATAATCTACTCAGTGAGTTCTACTATGAAAGACTGAATAAACTGAAGCTGCTTAGTTTAGGGAAGGAGAAACACATCGGATAATATGACACTTCCAAACAGTGTACATAAATAAATACAAAGATCCATTACTTTTCTCTTTGCAGCAAACTGTTCTTGTTTATAGCCAACACATGAATAACCATTTGGATTTAAATTTAATCAAAGGTGACCCCAATTAAAGGGGGGAAGCTACTTAGAGAGAAAGCAAACAAGGACCAGGAACGAACTGCCTGAGGAGATCTCGGCAACACTGAGACCAATCCTAAAGCTCTACCAGGAAAATGAGGTGTCACTGACCCTTCCCCAGGGCAGAGGAGCTGAATTTCAGCACTCACAGGCCGGTTCCCCTCCTTTGATCCTGTGATTTACAGATAACTTAGTAGCCAAGAAGAAATTCTTCCACAGCTCTGTGATACAGCCAAGAAATTACAGCTGAAATTACAGGATTCAGCTGAAGTATTTCAGAACCTCTCAGACACACCACATACTCAGAGATCCCTGACATTAGGTCCCTCCTTCTCTTGTTTTAGCAACTCCCCATTAAAAGCACACTTTCTGAAAGGCAGAGTCTGAGCCTGCACTGGGGAATAAGTGAAATGCAAACTGAACTTTTCTTGCCAAATTAAGTCATGAGATTAAATTCTTTAAGAGAATCACATAGCCCATTGATAGAGATCAACCAACCCATTTAATCTACTTTCCCATAGTTCATGAATGATTCCTTCTCTAGGTGACCTGGGCTAGTTCTAACTGTAAGTGCACCACCAAGATCTTTATTTACTGCAAATATTTTTATTTACTGCAAATCACAACCAAATATTTTCCTCTAGAAACTAAATTTCTTTTTCCCTTTAATTTCCCCCTTTCTTTCTTTCCTACACATTTTTCAGTAATTTTAAACCAGGGCTTGGAAGCGGACACAATGTTGTTCACTACATGCAGCTGTACAAGAAACAACAAAGAAAAGTAAGACAAGTAAGTTTTCAGGTAAGCAAGTGCATGCAATTTCTACAGCTCCTATTAATCTGCTATCAAAGATTGCTTAAATGAGAAATTTTCTTCATAATGACTGTGTACACACCAAATATCTTCCAACCTGCCACCTTTTGACCAGTGAGTGGCAAATGGAATTGAGGTTGGAGTTTCAGAAGGATACTTTCAGGGTCACCCCTTTCTTTATTCACCAGTACCCTGCATCCCTTTCTGTTCTCTTTCCCCAGTTTTCTTGTATTTTGTCCCTTTTGTACACAGGAGCTGCACTACATATGGGTTTTATTCTAAAAGAGTTTGTTGTTCTTTTTTTTTTTCCTAAAATCACATGGAATTAAAAATACTACCAGCAGGCTGACATAGATGACATTTTAAATAGAAAAATAGTTTATCTTAATTCATGTAATTCACCAATCACTCTGATCCTGAGTCAAAAATTCAGCAGAAAGTAGGAATACACAAGGTATAGAAATTCAATGCCAATTTCTAGTACTGCCTCTGTCAGAACTTAGGAATAAGAACCACATCTCAGGATTTCAGCAGCAGTTGTTGAAACTGTGCTATGCAAGAATGTCCCTGAAGAGGAAACGTCACTTGAACTGGAAGCCACAACTATTTAAAATGGAACTTCTTGTGCAGGAAGACAATGGCAGACAATGCTGTACTGATCTGACAAACCCTAATTTAACATACTGTAGGACACTTCATCCTGTTAAACTATAGCTTAAATACAAATTAACTGCTCAGAAAAGTGGGAGGAGAAAGGCTCAGGTCAGAGGCCCATTTAACTCAGTACTGTGTTTCTGAGTGAGTGGAAGAAACAAAACTTCACGAAACAGGGTAAGAACCAGGACAAATTCTGAGACATCTTGGGACTTTCTGCTTACAGCTAATCAGTAATTTAAGGGCCTCCTTCAGCTAAACACCATATTGCCATTGTTCTTCACAACCACTACTGGACTTACTCTCCATGAATACAATTAATACATTTTTTAGTATATTTTTAATCTTGTCTTCCAAAAGATTGTAAATTTACATTGAATAAGTGCTTTTCTTGCTCTGGTCATACATGCAGCCTGACCATTTCACTGTGTCTCCCAGATTTTTCTTAGTGACAATTGAAGAACGATCATTCTGCATTCTCATCATGCTATGATGTCTGATTTGCAATTGCTAACACAATCCAGGATCCCTTTCTGAAATTCAGCAGTCCTAATCTGCTCAGTTTCTTTTTGTAAGGAATTCCTCATTCTCAGCAC